AAGAGGTCGCCAGGTTGTGGGCCAAATCCCCAGTGGAGGGCATGCAGGAGGTGGCCAACTGATGTTCTCTCTCATCGATGTTTCTCTCTCTCTAAAATGAATACAGGAAAAAAAAAAAAGGAAGAAGACACATCGAGATTGGTAGGAGGGGCAGAGGCGCGGATAGGCTGGTCCCACACTCACCTTTGGCAGATAAAAATCAGGAGGGAGCCCTGGCTGGTTTGGCTGAGTGATTAGAGCATCAGCTTGTGGACCAGAGAGTTGTGGGTTCAATTCCAGTCAAAGGCACGTACCTAGGTTGTGATTCAGTCCCCGGCCTTGGTCGGGGTCATGCAGGAAGCAACCAATGGATGTATCTCTCTTACATCCATGTTTCTCTCTCTTTCTCTCTCTCCCTCCCACTCTGTCTGAAAATCAGTGGAAAAATATCCTTGGCTGAGGATTAAAAAAAAAAATCAGGAGGTACTCCTTGAGGAACGAGGAGTCCCCTTCCCAAACCAGGCCCCCTTAGTTCAGAGTTCCAGTGCCAGGAAGAGAAGTCCCCACATTTGGCTGTAAAAACCAGACGGAATTGCCCTGGCCGGTTTGGCTCAGCGGTTAGAGCGTCGGCCTGCGGTCCGGAGAGACCCGGGTTCGGTTCCCGCTGGGGGCATGTACCTCGGTTGCAGTTTGTCCCCGGCCCTGGTTGGTCGTGCGGGTGGCAGCCACTCGATGTGTCCCTTTCACGTCGATGTTTCTCTCTCTCTTCCTCTCCCTCCCACTCTATCTGTACAGAAAATGGAAAAGTGTCCTCGGGTGAGGATAAAAAAAAAAACAGACGGAATTGAGGCTCAGGGAGGCGGAGGCTGCTGGGATGCAGTTCCTCTTAAAGCGCCTGTGCCAGGACTTACTTGGACTGGCTCCCTCCAGGCTTCCTGCGTGGGGGAGGCATCTAGAAAGGCTCCAGAGACATACTGGGAAGAACTGAGTTATCTGGCATTAGGGCAAAAGCTGTAGGGCAGCTTTCTCCTAGACACGTGCTGGGGGAGGCTGCTGTTCCTTTGGAGAGCCCTTCCCCCACGAGGCCAGCAGACAGCCTCCATATCTGGGACTCTAGCAACCTGGCTCACACTGTTTGTGCTCCAACCCCATGATTCCCTGAGGTCCTGCCACACCCAACTTTTGGGCCCACCCAAGCTGTTTCCAAAGGTTTTACCATAGGATTGGCCTGTCTTGGATCCTGCTTCAGGTTTTCCTAAATTCTCTCAAGCAGCATCTGACCTCAGCAAGCCCCATACCTCTTGCTAAGTGGCCCTTGGCCTGGCACTAGCAGCAGCCAGCCTTGGTTCACAGCTCGGCTTTACCTGGGTACCTCCAAGCCCAGCACAAAAGGCAGCCATCTGCAGGTCGCTTTGTAGCTTATGCCTGTTGGCCCCGGGTAGAACACAGGCAGGGGCTGATCTTGTCCCAGAGCCAGCACACCCAGTGGACAGCTTTAGACTACGTCGAAGCACCACCACCCAACCACCTCCACACTCAAAGAGTGAACTCAGTGGGTACCAGAGCCCTGCTGAAGTAAGTCTTGCTCTGTGAGAGGGCCCTGCACAGCTGATCCTCCACGGCGGTCAGAGGTCAGTGGGCAGTGGGCACAGCCAGTCCTTGCAGCTGATCAGCCTGAGTAAATCCATCCCATTGATGTGCCAACAGCAGTCAAGACTCAATTACAACAGAAGGGTGTACAGCAGTGGTTCTCAACCTTCCTAATGCTGTGACCCTTTAAAACAGTTCCTCATGTTGTGGTGACCCCCAACCATAAAAAATTATTTCCTTTGCTACTACTTCATAACTGTAATTTTGCTACTGTTATGAATCGCCATCGAAGATATGTGTTTTCCGATGGTCTTAGGCAACCCCTGTGAAAAGGTCATTCAACCCCCAAAGGGGTTGTGACGCACAGGATGAGAACCACTGGTGTACAGTCTACACAAGGGGTGCACCTTGAGGGCCCAGTTGGGGTGACCACGGAGGCTGTGCCACTGGACCCTACAGGACACCTACAATAATAGGCCACCCTACGAATCCTAGGAGACATACAACTCTACCCAATACATAGAAACAAACACAGGAAAGCAGCCAAAATGAGGAGACAAAGAAACATGTCCCAAGTGAAAGAATAGAACACAACTCCAGGAAAAGAACTAAACAAAATGGAGATAAGCAATCAATCAGATGTAGAGTTCAAAACATTGGTTATAAGGTTGCTCAAGGAACTTAGTGAGAACATCGACAACTTAAAAAAGGACCAATCAAAATGAAGGATGCACTAACTAAAATAAAAAATAATTTACAGGGAATCAATAGTAGAGTAGGTAAAGCCAAGAAACTATCAATTTGGAATATAAGGAAGTGAAAAATCACCCAATCAGAACAGCAAAAAGAAAAAAATAATCCAAAAAAATGAGGATAGTGTAAAGGAGCTTGTGGGACAACTTCAAGCACACTAACATTTGCATCATGGAAGTGCCAGAAGGAGGAGAGAGAAAGAAATTGAAAACATATTTGAAAAAATAATGACAGAAAAATTCCCTAACTTGGTGAAGGAAACAGACATGCAAGTCCAGGAAACACAGAGAGTCCCAAACAAGACAAACACAATCAGGCCCACACCAAGACACATCATCCTCAAAATACCAAAGGTTAAAGACAAAAAGAATCCTAAAAGCAGCAAGAGAAAAGCAGTTAGTTACCTACAAGGGAGCTCCCATAAGACTGTCAGCCAATTTCTCAAAAGAAATTTTGCAGGCCAAAAGGGAATGGCAAGAAATATTCAAAGTAATGAAAAGCAAGGGCCTATAACTAAGATTACTCTGTACTGCAAAGCTATCATTTAGACTTGATGGACATATAAAGAGTTTCCCAGATAAGAGAAAGTTAAAGGAGTTCATTACCACCAAACCAGTATTATATGAAATGTTGAAAGGTCTTCTTGAGGAAAATGATCAAAAATGTGAATAATAAAATGGCAATAAATACCTATCAATCAACAATTGAATCTACAAACAAAATGAACAAGCAGAACAGAAACAGATTCATAGATACAGAGAACTTTTTGTTGGTTACCAGATGGGAGGGGGGTTGGGGGAATGGGTGAAAAAGCTGAAGGGATTTAGAAGTAGAAACTGGTTATTAGACTGGTGAATCTCGAAGGGAAAGGGGGAGGGGGGAGAGATAAACCAAAAAACTTATATGCATAACCAATGGACACAGACAATAGTGTGGGAATGCAAGAGAGGGATGGGAGCAGGGAGGAGGGGGTCAAAGGGCACAAAAATTGGGGACATCTGTAATACATTCAACAATAAAGATAAGTTTAAAAAGTCCCAAAACCATACTATGATCAGGTGTACCTTTCCAATCTTTTCTTTGGCCCTTTATAAAACCCATGTGCCTTCCTTGTTCCTTGTTTTATTCATGTGATTTCCTCCATATAACTTATCCCTCCCCCAATGTTCTATATTAGCCTATTAAAATCTTTGTTATCTCTAAATGTATTCATCCATTCATATATTTATTGAGGATCTTCTCCATGTAAGGCACACAGTTGGACAATGGTTGAAGACAAAGGAAACTGGTTCCAACTGTAGTGTGGGCATGTAAAGAATTAACCCTAATACAAGTTAGAATCAATTGGCTAAGAGGCCAGTTTACATTGTAGTAAAAATAAAACAAACAATCAATTAAGCCTTACACCCAGATGAAATCCTCCCTCCTTTAATTTTCCCTATTTTATTCCCAGTTTTTTCTCACTGTTCTGAATCACCATAAGACTGGTTTTATATCAATCACCCATATTATCATTTACATGTATATATCTCTTTTATTCCTCAATACATATGAAACTTGAGAACTCAAGACATTTTTCTGTATAATTTTAATATCTATTAAATTTTCCTTAAATATAAAATATATACCATTCAAATAATGACTTTAAAGACTGTTTTTAAAAAATGTGGCACTCCCATCTTTTATCTAATAATAATTACATCCACTATGATTAAAATAAAAATAAGGATTAAAAGAGCTGCACCTCGCCCTGGCCGGTTTGGCTCAGCGGTTAGAGCGTCGGCCTGCGGTCCGGAGAGACCCGGGTTCGGTTCCCGCTAAGGGCACGTACCTCGGTTGCAGTTTGACCCCGGCCCTGGTTGGTCGTGTGGGTGGCAGCCACTCGATGTGTCCCTTCACATCGATGTTTCCCTCTCTCTCTCTTCCTCTCTCTCCCTCCCACTCTATCTGTACAAAAAATGGAAAAATATCCTCGGGTGAGGATAAAAAAAAAGAAAAAAAAAAGAGCTGCACCTCATTAGAAATTTCTATAGAGAATTTCATGGAAAGTTAGCCAAAAGTTAGATTTCTTAAGAAACTAAATATATTCTTTTAAGAATTTTATAGATTAATTTTTATAAAGAAAAAATGTGGCTAATTTGTCTAAGTTTCCCTATCCTGTATTAACCTGAAATACATGAATAAGCTTTGATACATTAACTATTATATAATTAAAGAAACCAAAAGCAAAACTCCATTTATCCTGTGTCTAAACACACTCAATTATCATATATCCACCAGAGTATTTATGAACATAAGTATCTATCCTCTGGCTAACATAGTTTGAGCTATGCAACACTTCCATAACTGTAATGGCATAGAAAGATTAATATCCATGTTTTAGGCTTAACCTATTAACACTATTTGTATTTTGTTATATATAGTTATAATCTAGGAGCATGTTAATATTCAATGGCCTACCTGAATCCAATCAAGTAAGCATACTCAATCTAGTATGAATTAGCATGTTATTTGAGCATTTTTAAACATTACCTTTAAAAAATAGCTAGCTCTAAGTTTTTCAAGCAAGCGAAATGTAATTTAAAATACTTAATTTTAAAAATTTAAAACTCAATGTTTCATATAAGAGGTCAAAAATCTATCTTATCAACTTTATTTTGAATAAAACCATACTGTACCTGCTTACTACCATGACCAAAAGGAGTACCAGATAAATTAGTGGTTACACTGTGCAAAATAATTTCACCACTGAGAGATCCAGAAGCAACGTAGCAATCATTCCAATTATATGTTACACAAGTTACTTCATCTTTATGATCCTGAAACAAAAAATAAATGTAAGCACAGTGCCATAAAACCTTCAAAAAGCCCATTTTCATGTTTTTGCACATTTCATGTTTTATAAATATTATCTATTTGTCACCACTAATATTTGCCTTAGTATTTCCTCAAATAACCTTAAACAATCACTCAGATAAGCAGGAAACTCTCTGATCAACACCAAGTCTTTTCAAGGAACAGAGATTTATTTTTCATAACTACAATAATGATCATGCACTCTGAGACAAGAGACAGAAAGGAAAGGTAATTTTCTAAATGGCAGAATGTCTACCTTAAAGAATTCACTTCCACTGACAAGTAACATTTATTGCAAGTTGACTAGTAGGAGAGTCCCTGCCCTTTAGAGTATTACTGTTCAACTGAGAAGACAGGATATTTAAATTAATGTGAAAATGGCAGAACAAACACTAAGTGAATGGTAGAGGCAAAGTGTCAAGAGGAAAGAGAAAGAGGCATCACTGTGAACTAAGTTGACAGAGGAAGCTTTATGGAAGACACAAGGTTTGAGTTCAACTTAAAGAAATGATAAAAGCTAAATTAGGGGAAGGGGAAATAAACCAGAAACTGCAAAATGGAAGAAAGCAAAAAACAAAAGCCCCAAAGCCAGAATGAGAGATGATAGCAGCTGCTTTCATTTGCAGAGACCCTACTAATGCTGGGAGCTTTATACATTATTATTATTATTATATTTTTAATCCTCACCTGAAGACATTTTCATTGATTTTTTTTTTTTTAAGAGAGAAAGAGGAGAAGGGAGAAGGAGAGGGAGAGAAACATTGATCAGTTGCCTCCTGCAGGCACCCCAACCAGCACAGGGATTGAACCAGCAAGCTAGGTATGTGTCCTGATGAGGAATAAAACCTGTGACCTTTCTGTGTACAGGAAGGTGCTCCTACCAACTGAGCCACACCAGCCAGAACTATATATACTAATCCTTAGAACGATCTTGGAAACAATGTCATTTTTCCCACCAAATGAAGCACAGAAAGGTTAAGAAACCTGTGTAAGCCCTGGTCAGTTGGCTCAGCGGTTAGAGAACCTGCGACTCCTCAGCCTGTGGACCAAGGAGTCGCAGGTTCAATTCTGTCTAGGGAACATACCTCGGTTGTGGTTCGTCCCCAACCCTGGTGGGGGTCGCCAGGGTTGTGTGGGCGGCAACCAGTCAACGTCTACCTCTCACCTTGATGTTTCTCTCTCTGTCTCTGTCTCTCTCCCTCCTTCCCACTCTGTCTGAAGATAAACAAAAAAATATCCTTGGATGAGGATTTAAAAAAAAAAAAAAAAGAAAGAAACCTGTGCAAGCCCACAAAACTGCTAAGTGAAAAAGCTGGGATTCAGTTCCAGGTCAAACTCCAAAGCCTAATTACCTCCCTCTATAATGGACTGTCTCCCAAATCCAAAGGGGAATCCACTTGGAGGAAAAAAAACTTTTTTGGTTTTAAACAGAGTTCACAAAGACTACGTTTTCCAGCATCAAATCAGAGATATCTAGCAGGAACACAGAAAAGTGATCAGGATTAAGAATATAGTTTTTAACAGTTTGGTGTCATACCTTAATAATATAAACAAACTAACCTTTGTATCTAATAATTAGGTTAATGTAATACCAAGAATAGTAACTATAATATTCCACTATTATATTACAATTTTTATATTGTAATAACTATAATAGTACAACTTTATCAAATGGTCCAAGCATGTTTGAAAATGTCTTTACATTTTATTCCTTTTCTAAATCAAAGAAGCAACTGCTATCCTGAGAAAAAAATGTCTGATGAGAAGAAAAAGGAGAGTAGACTTTTAGTGCATTGTTCCCATCTAGAAAATTAAGAACATGAAGTCCAATACAATTTCTATGACTTTGTAGAGAGACAGGTGTCTTCCTTATTTCAATTGTAGAAAATAACTGTCACCCAGTACACATTTACTAAGCACCTATCAAGTGCCAGAAACTGTGTTTTTATCAGAAAGAGCACTGCAGACAAGGGATCCAAAGGCGAAAGATTTCCCACTATCACAATTAGTCAAATACTTGTTAATTGAATGAATGAAAGAATGAAGTTCTGTAAGAGTTTCAAACAAGGAGAAGAGAAAATGCTACCTGGATTAGTTAGGAAAGCTGAGAATGGGAAAAAATGAGTGGAATCCTGCAGTGCAGTAGGAGAAATGGGGGTATGAGATGTTCCTATACTGTGTGACAATATGTGACAAAACCGGCCTCAGACTTCTAAACTCCCCTCACCTCTGTAAAATGTTCCCTGTTTATAGTAAGCATATCCCTCTAAATAGCTTTGATTCAATTATTTTATCATTTAAAAGAGTAAACAATGAACATTTCATCTTTGCCATTACTAGTTGTTAGACATTAAACAAGTTCTTGAACACTTCGGAGTCCGAGTTTCTCCGTCTGTACACAGGAAAGTACTACCTGCTTTTCAGTTGTTGACATAAACAGAATATATGTTAAGCACAGTGGCTGGCATATGAAAGAACTAAAAAATTAACTATTCTCATTACTGGCAACCTTTTGATTTTCCTTAAAACTCTTCAAAGTTTAGCTAATATCTAAAAAATGAACTTCCAAAGGTAATATTTTAAACAGCAATTACAAGATTACATTTCACTATGACAAAACCATTCTTCTATTTGCCATTCCCCTAGTAAGACTTAATTCAACAACATTAAGATTTATAACAAAGTGATAATGATGTCTGGTGTCTGACTCAAAACAACCTGAGGGAAGAACAGACGAGGGCATAGTTTCATTAGAACATGCGTTGATTATCACTGAAGTCTGATGATGAATACGTGTGTGTATATATGTGTGCACAAATGTATAAAAGTTTAACATTTTTAAAAACATAAAAATTAAAAACTATAAAGATAAACTTCCAAATATTAAAAAGACACAATAGTGAAAAGCAAAATTCCAAAAATATCATCACAACCCAAATATGTAAAGAATCTTTTTTACTTTCTGAAACTGCAAAAGGCTATTTAAAGAAATAGTAAGTGTAAATGCTAAATTATTTTAGAAAATATTTCATTATCAAGATGAAAATATATACACATAAAAATAACAGAGTCGCAGCCAAAGATACTAAAGAAAAAGCCAATTCCCCAGCTCTAATTACCAGATAGACTACTGTTATCCCAAAACCACACTCAATTTTTTTAAGTGTCTTAAAAAAAGATCTCTGATGACAAGACACTTTAGAAAACGTGAAGGAAGTGGTTCATTCAAACAAGACTAGAACTAAGTGAAACAAAAAACGTTTTAAACACCATAATGTGCCTTAGTGATATACATGAAGGAAGAAACAGACAAAAATATATATACATAAGTTTTCGGTTAAACAGCATCTTTATTTTCCCTAAAAAATCTCACTTCAATTCTAAAGCATCTTATTTTTATCATAAAAACTCAACAGTGAAAGAAAAGTTTGGTAACTAAACACATTGTGAAATACCTATTTCTGTAAGGATTTTAAAAACAACCCAAGTTCCTTACCTTAAGAGATCGATGAACTCTTTTTGATTTTAAATCCCAAATATTAACAGTGTTATTCAGGCCTCCGCTTACCAAATACATAGATGAGGAATTTAAACTGACACATGTCTGCTTTTGCTATTAAAGGGGAAAAAAAAAATTATCTTAACAGAGCACAGAGATGACTTTCAAGTCTTAGTCAATACTTAGTAACCACTTCATAAATATTTCTTGAATTAAATGCTATAAATATGCTAATACTTATACTAAAGATTCACCAGTAATCAGTCATCTTCTACATGGATCCTACAGCTTGTCAAAGTTCAAAAAGGCTCCAAGTAAATCAACCAGATTCATGTTCTCTGCCATACAACAGAGGTGACAGGAAGCTTAGGGAACACCAGCAAGTCCCATCCTCCTGTCAGGCTTTACTTGCCCTTACAATCTCCCTTTACCAACACCTGCTCTTGAACTTGCACAGGACACTCTGAATTCCAATCACCTGCAGCTCAGGAAACACTAAAGGTAGAGGAGACTTTAAAGGATCCCTAAACCCTTTATTTTACAGATGGGGAAAGTTTTATAAAGAGGACAAGATACTTGCCCAAAGTCTCACAGCAAATCTCCCCCTAAGAAACCGAATTCTCAAACACCGAGTCATCAGAATGTAACTCTACAGTCTTCTCTATGTCTCTAAGGACACAATCCAATAGTTTCTCAAGATAAAATTACAGAATTACCTTTGATTCCTGATTCTCCCTCCCCTCAATCTACCATAAATTCTCTAAACTCCAACACGAAAATAAATTCCACACGCCCCCTGTATCTATCACTACTACTAGCACCCTAATCCAAACCCTGCGGAACCACCCACAGCAGCCTCCTAACTGGCTGTCCTCCTCCCACTCCTACTTCTATACATTCTGTTCTCCATAAGTAGGGTGACCTTTAGATATGTAAATCTGATTATGTCTCCCAATTAAAAATCTTCAATGACTTCTAATCAACCCTACAATAAACTGGCTATCAGAGCCCTATTTGTCTGGCCCCTCCTACCTCATCTCACTTTCCTCCTCACCCTCTAATTCTCCAGCCACAAGGACCTTTTTGCATTCCTTAAACACAACACTCTATTCTTGCCTCAAGGCTTCTATAACAGCTACTCCTGCCGGAAAGCTAAAGTGTGAGAACTCTGGCTGAATGGCTTCTTCTGGTCAATAGAGAGTGCCTTAAATGCCACCTCTTCAGGAGACGTCCCTTGGCCACATAAGGAGGTATCTTATTTTAGTTCTCAGCATAACAACTTATCACTATCTGGGTATCCTGTTTACTAGTTTATTGTCAGTCTTCCACCAGAATGTCATTTTCATTATAGCAAAGACCACATCCATGCTCAATAAGTATTTATAAAATAAATGGCTAAAAATACAGAGGCTACCAAGCTTTTCTCACGATAATTATCTGAACGTCATCTACCTGGTGGTGCCCATCCATCAGAACAAAATGTTGCATGTTTTTTCCTATTTAACCTTCAGGTACACTATGTAGTTACATTAATGTTCTTACCTCCAGTTGAATGCTATGGAAGAAAAATAGAGAAATGAATTCCAAAGGGGATATATTTGTGACTTAGTCAAAAGCCAAAGTATATAGGTCAGGCAAGGCATCTCACCTTCCTGAGCTCATGTTTTTTCATCTGAGAAATGAGATCTACTGTTCCTACCTTGAGGGTCCACGCATCTCAAAAACATCCTCTACTCAAGAGGGCACCGGATTCTTAAAAGGGTGCAGATGGTGTCCTGCCCCAAGGTGTATTACAGCTCTTGAATTTTGACCAAGAGTCCAAATTACTAACACATATAAAAATATCAGGAGCACATTAGGTCAATATATAAGTATAGTAGGTATAATTCTCTTGTAGGTACCATACTAGAAACTGACTTTGGGCTAAACAGACTAGTAAGATTTTGAATGTGGTTATCACTGCAAATCAGGACAGTTTGCTAAGAGGTATAAAAATAACCTTTAAAGAAAACAGACAAGAATGATGTCCATCAAAGATTGCTATATCAGGATTCTAACTGTCAAAAACAACTCAAATTATTCTTAAGGGCTCAGAACCAAAGCTATATTTACAGCTGGCTTACCCTGATAATAGAAGATTTTTTTATGTTAATATATTATTAATATAGCTAATGAACTTAAATAATTAATGAAAATCGTGTAGTTATTACAAGAATCCTGTACCCCAAGACACAAGCAATGGGTGCAGTTTTGAAAATCTAAAAATAACAGCTGACCAAATCTCTAGGTTATATAGTAGCCTGTCATATCCATTCTAATACTGTTAATACCAATCTGCCTACTTTAAAGATGTAAAATACAAAATCAAAGAAAATAAATGTAACTTAAAGTTCTATTCAAAAAATAATGTTTAGGTAAAAATCATATTTTCCCATGTAGAAAAGGTCTAATATCTCAATAGCACGTGAGTAAAAAAAAAACTTGGATCCTACAAAGCAAAGGTTACAAGAAACTATTAGTAAAAGCTAAAGAACCAATGTCTGCAAAGTACTTTTATAAAGTAAATTAAAGCAGACTCAGATTATAACTATAATGACCTCACTTCAGCCACATACATTCTGATATCTTTTTTTTTTTATCCTCACCCAAGGACATTTTTTCATTTTTTGTTCAGATAGAATGGGAAGGAGAGAGAGGAAGAGAGAGAGAAAAACATCGATGTGAAAGGGACACATCAAGTGGTTGCCACCCACAGGACCCAACCAGGGCCGGGAACAAAATGCAACCAAGGTACATGCCTATAGTGGAAACCGAACCGAGGTCTCTCTGGACCACAGGCGGAAACTCTAACCGCTGAGACAAACTGGCCAGGGCCTGATGTGTTTCTTAACTGTGGGAAAAGAAATAACTACAGCCACTGATGTGGAATATTCACAAAATTCTTAGAATTGTGTCACATTTGTGAATATCGTCTGTTAGTTTCATACTTTAATAACAAAAACAAGAAGATACCAAACTGGTTTTAAGGTTTAATGTAAAAGTAGCATAAGATATATTGTGGCAGAGTTGGAAATCAAAATTATTTTGATGTTGATATTTAATTAATGATAATTAAAATTATTTTGATGTTGATATTTAAGTAAAGGCAGTTTGTCAGTTGCCTTTGACAGGATTTAAAGATTCAAAGATGATGACTAAGGTATTCTGCCTGCTCCTGAAGGGTTCATTTTGACTTCCATCAACCAAGGATGCTCTCTGCCTCAATGTTACTTAACTGAGTCTGAATAGGCAGCAGACCTCAAACCCCATTTCTACCCTTAGCATGCTCTCTGCACTAGCCTCCAACAAGCATGGGCTACATTCAAGCTTGGGTCAATCCCACCAGATACCTTTAGAAGAGGACTGATAGAAATCAAAAATGCTTTTTAAATTAGATGAGCTTATTATATCTCACTGTCCTGCTGTGTTCTTTCTAATTGGGCTCCCTTACCTATTCCAGTGTGTAAAATTAGGACTGTTCATAATATTTTAGAGTCTGCTAGGAAATCCGAAACTTCAAAAAGAACAAGTTATCAACTACTTGTACCTTTTTATTTAGATCATGTTATTTTTAAAAGAAATAGCTTGAAAATAGCTATTGAAAATTCCAATAGATTGGAAATGAGGTAGCCAGCAATATCCTGAATCAAAGAGATTAACTTATAAAACAAAAGAATAAGAAAATAATATGCAATGAAAGCTTCAATTAAATGCTCTGGGACCAAAGCTCATTTTGAATAGCCGTCCTTTTCTAGGAAGGTTTGGGGAGACTCGGCAGGCCCTTCAGTGCAGGAGGACAGAAGCTAAAGCAGAAGGCTGCCATCAGACAAGGGTCCTTACCTGATAGTCCTCATCCAATGTCAGTAAAGGCAGGGCTACATCATTAGAGCTTTATGGTCAAATTAACCTAATCACTTAAGTGGGATTTAGTCCTTAAAAAGGCAGCAATACCAGGGAACCTCCAACGGAGGAAAAATGGAGAAAGCAAATGCCTAGTGTTATTTTACTTAAAGATGTTTCCATACCTATCTCACCTATAAGTATTAGGGTATTATTTTGAGCCTAGGTTAAGCATAATGTTTTTAAATACCTTCATATTTAGTTGCAAGCACCATAATAAATAAGCAGTTACCACTCAAGTAGAACAAAGATTTTATTTTCATTTTTTTTAAAGTTCACTTACCCCTTCACCAAGTTCTAAAAGTGGAACAGGTTTACATTTGCAACTTGAAACAACAATTTTGTCGCCACTGGAAGATGCTGAAACTAGAAAGTTATCTAAATGAAGAGTTATGGAACATAAAACAATCCATGAGCATCTCTAGCACTAGACTATTAATATAAGAATTGTGAGGATAAAAGCAAGCACACTAACCTAACAAAAGCAAATGAACACAGTATATATATCAGCTTTCAAAAATGGCTCATTTACTAATTACTAATTCTCTTTGCTACCACCACAGAGAAGAACTGTCCTTGCTGGCTTTGCTATCACTTGATAACTATTTAACCCACGTGAAATACTACTCCATTTTCCAAGAGTAGGCCAGAAGGTTTAATTTTATTCTTCAAGAATGAAAGCATGCCCTGGCCGGTTTGGCTCAGCAGTTAGAGCGTCAGCCTGCGGTCCTGAGAGACCTGGGTTCAGTTCCCGCTAAGGGCGCATACCTCGGTTGCAGTTTGTCCCCGGCCCTGGTCGGTTGTGTGGGTGGCAGCCACTCGATGTGTTCCTTTCACATCGATGTTTCTCTCTCTCTCTGTTCCTTTCTCTCCCTCCCACTCTACCTGAACAAAAAATGGAAAAATGTCCTCGGGTGAGGATAAAAAAAAAAAAAAGAATGAAAGCATGATAAAAGCATCATCAGCAAATATTAATCAGCTTTTTCATTTATGAACACTGTTCCAGATAGTTTTATTAACACAGTGTTTGGTACCCATATAAGCTAGGAAGCAATATCTATACTAGTCTCCTATTTGTCCACTAAAAAAAATAAAAACCGATATTTCCTCAGAACTAGAATTTTTGTGATAGAATGTTTCAATCTTAAATGTATTAAAAATAAATAAATATTACAGTGAATATAGCAAATATAAATAAATGTGGTTAAACAGCAACTATGTACATTATGGAAGAGTTTTATTTTAAATAATATTTAAATTATTTAACTTTTAATATCATTAAATTTTAAAATTTAACTTAAATAAATTTAAACTTATATTTACCTTATTTTACATGGAACAATCAGTAAACACAAAACAATGTTATGTATTTTAAAACTAAAATAATTAGCCCTTGCCCGTTTGGCACAGAGGTTAGAGCATCAGTTCACGGACTGAAAGGTCACAGGTTCAATTCCGGTCAAGGGCATGAATCTGGGTTGCACGTTTGATCCCTGGCCCCAGTCAGGGTCATGCAGGAGGCAACCAATCAATGTGCCTCTCTCATATTGATGTTTCTCTCTCTCTCTCCCTCCCTCCCTTCCACTCTATCTAAAAATCAATGGGAAAAAATATATATCCTCAGATGAAGATTAACAAAAAAATAAAATAAAACTAAAATAATTAAATATTAATATACTGAAGAATAAGAGTTTGATTTTGAAAGTGATAACAAATTATCAGAAGTTTAAATTAATGCTTTTTAACAAGCAAAGTTCTAAATGCATTACTTTTGGATGATTTACATCACATGCAAATATTGTGTCAACAGATCATGGGCTGTGATTTTATTATAATACATGCTTCAAACAAAATAATTTACACCTAGATATTACAGCATTGAGAAAAATAAGTCATTTCTCTTTCCTTGGCTCCTTCCTCTGTTTACTGTTACTTTTCTCCTAGGAATATAAAAATTTTAAAAAACAGAAAGAAAATATGAGAGGGTCAAATAGTAAGTAACTATTTTTATTTCTCATGTAGTTTTAGAAGTCATGAGAAAGTGAGAAACATTATCTCGAGGACCAAAAACGCAAAACACAGAACAGTAATCTCCCTGGCACGTCACCATTAACCCCGCCTTTGGAATCCATGCAAAGTGGCCTCCAAGTTTCTGACTCTAGGAAGTCCTTATTCATCGGTAACTAACCTCCATGGCAGAAATCAAAGCTTCATTAGGAGGACGATTATACGAAGGCTTCCAGTACACATCTACTGTACAGGAAAGCCACACAGAAATAAGACCGTTTCCAAAAGTCATGACACCTCCTCACAGTCACATCAGTTTTACTGACAGACCATTAAGGGGGATATCAGTTAATGCCAACTGTTAAAAAAAAAAAACTCCTTGGAATACAAATAAACCAAAAATAACAAATTTTACCAAGTAATTCTACTTATCTCTAATACAGTAAGTAACAGAGAAAAATTAATCTCTAAACATAATAAAAATCCAGCAATAAAGAACCTCACATATCTGTCTGTCACTCTCCAAAAACATTGCCTTCCACTACACATCTGGAAAGGACTTCAGAAAGGCAGTCACCTCACCATGAGTTTGATTAATAGAGCACCAAAGTAATTTATTCTGCTACTATAATAAAAATTCAAGGAATGATGAAGTAAATTTAATTCATTAAGAAAATTCATCATTTTTGTTACGTATTTGAAAGAACAGTTAGGTTAAGCATGAACACTTCTAATGGTTTTGTTCATGAATCAGTCACATTTTAAAGCTTTGATAGTTTTACTTTCATCAAGAGGCAGAATATTAATACTATGGTATAGATAAGATCAGACACATAAAAACCTAATGTGTTGTTTAAGAAACAGTGTATATATATGAATTTCACAAAAGAATGATAACTTGTAGCATACCAAGTATATAGAACATCTACATACAAAAAGTGATGAGTACTTTGTTCACAGTGGTTCTCAACTGGGGGCTACTGGCATCTGGTGGACAGAGGCCAGAAAGACTTCTACTAAACATTCTCTACTGCACGTACAGCCCCCATAACAAAAAAATATCTGGCCCAAAATGTCAACAGTGCGAGGCCGAGAAATCCTGAGTTACAAGTTTCACTGCCTCATTGAGTTTACACACATAATAGGAGCTTACTTAGAAGGGGAGGGTGTGAATCAGAAACATAGAAAGCTTAGAAAAGTTCAGTAATTTCTCTGAACATTTAGGAAATGAGACTATTTTCATCATAGAAAGGAAGAGAAATACAAGAGTAAATCAGTAGGATGAGGATGCCGGACCATTTTAATTTTTATCTTCTCCCCCAACCTTTGTTTCTGCTTCTGAGTTCTATCATTAATTTCCAGACCAGATCCACAAATATTCACATGTAGATACAAAAACTCATTCCAAACCTTTCAGAATTTTTTCCACCATTACCTACCTTAATCCATTTGATTTAATGACAAAACTAATTCTATGGTCTAGATCTAATAATTAATCTATATGTGTGTGTATATACAGGGGTGGGCAAAAGTTGGTTCTCAGTTGTTCAGATGGCAAATAATAATTAATAAATAATAGCCCTGGCCAGTTTGCTCAATAGTTAGAGTGTCAGCACGTGGACCAAAGGGTCACAGGTTCAATTCTGGTAAAGGGCACATACCTGGGTTGCAGCCCTGGTCGGGGTCATGCAGGAGGCAACCAATTGATGTTTCTCTCTCGTATCAATGTTTCTTTCTCCCTCTCTCTCTCTCTCTCTCTCTCTCTCTGCTTCCCTACCTTTCACTCTATCTAAAATTCAATGGAAAAATATCCTCAGGTGAGGATTAACAAAAATAAATAAATATAACACAAGAATAAATTCTGTTTCATCCACTCACAACTGTAAACCTACTTCTGACCACCCGTGTGTGTGTGTGTGTGTGTGTGTGTGTGTATGTGTAGCAGTGTTTTTCAATATAATGGGCTGCAACTAAAATGTTTTAGAGAGAAATCAGTGTGTAATTTATATGATATACTGTTCAGTAAACTATTTCTTTTGATCTATCTTTCATAGCTATGCAAAATATAGTTCTCATTATGGGTTGCATGCAAAAGTTCCATTGGTTGTTAAATCTAACAAAAAGTGGTTTTGGTTTTTTTTAAAAAGGATACTATTGCTGCTCCAACACATTGAGCTGATTCCATGTGGTGATGTATGTGGGTTGAATTTATCCACCAATGTCATGGATGAAGCATCCCATATTTTAATATCATCTCCCGATGAAGCAAATCTGTGGTTTTCCTGCATGACTGCACCTACAGATAGTTTAAAACAATATATCAGAAAAGGAACAATTAAAGACAGGCCAAAAAAAAAGTTAAAATGAGGCATCTAATCCAACACAACTGGCACTACTGTCCACTTCTGTCCCCAAGAGTGTGCTCACCACAAAATAGCTGGAGTGATCTTTCTAAAATGTGAACCAGATCATCATCTTACTTGACTCTTCCCATGGCTCTCCACAGCAGTTATGATGAAATCCAAGTTTCTTAGCATGCTTTACGTGACCTACCCAGCCCGGGCAACGCTTCCCTGCAACCACCAGTCTCATGGCCTTCCTTCTTGCATCCATGTCTTTCATTTGCTGCCCCTCTGCCTGGAATGCTCTTTCCCCAGATTCCCCATGGTCATCTCCCTCACATCATTCCAGTCTCAGCTTAAATGTCTCCTCCTCAGAAAAGTCATCTCTAATCAGCATGACTAAAGCAGCCCCATACCAGTTGCCCTATATCCCATTATCCCATTTCATTTATTTTCATGGCACTTCCTCCTGTCTGCGATTCTTATTTTATTCATAACGTCTGCCACTCCCCACCCCCAACCCCAACTTGCACCAAACAAAGATCCTCAGAACAGAGATTCTGTCTTGTTTCCTACGTCTTGAAACATTCCTGGCACACAATAGGTCCTCACAAATAAGTGTTGAATAGGTAATCTTCTAATCTTTTTAAAAATATATCATAAACACTACCACTTCTGCAGATCTGAATCCTGACACTCGAGTTTTTCCAAATAATTCAAAATCAGCAGATACAGCCAAAGATGTCACTAATCCCTGTATCAATTCATGGTCTACAATGCCATCGCTCATATTATTTATTCACAGTATATAGTTCAAACACAGTGCTGACAAAGTGACTTCACAAATTAAAGCAATCTAGAAGACAGAAAGCAAAAAAGCTGCTCTAGGCAGACACTTTAAAGAGCAGCAAACAGTAATGCATGACAAGTTTTTTTTAAAAGGTTCAAAAATACATGAGAGGAAGGGGAAGGGAAAAGAAGGGGACCTAGAAATATGTCCTCCATACATTCCTGGTGTGGACATTTCACGAGTACAGCCCAGCATTAGTGATGTCACAGACAGGTTCCCCAAGTCATCAACAAAACACTGCACTTATGTCCAGTACACTCTATTTCAAAGGACAAGTTAGAGCAATAATAAATTATAGGGCCCTTTGAGTCACAAGAGACAAAAAAAAATGTTTAATGTGTTTATAAAAAGGCTAAAATGTGTGTTAACTAGAAAAGTCGCTTATGTGATTCATTATGGTTCATTCATGAGATAAATACAGAGCTACTCAAAGCCCTTAGTCATCTGTTGCAACGTAGACACTGTGTTTGGATTTGGTGCCTTAACATGTTGCAACGTGCCCTTTTGGTTCCCTACTCAAGAACAATCGAGTGCAGGAAAGGCGATCTCTAAACCCAGTAAACACAACTGAAAGCTGTCTCTACAATAATCTTACACCATTCCCGTTAAGGGGTGTGGTACATAGGAAGGATCACTTAAGCTAGGGCTCAGAAAAAGGGGTTCAAACGCTGTGCCCCAGACTTTAGGTGCTAGTGACTTTGGCCAAGTCATTTAATGCCTGTTTCCTTCTCTGAAAGTGGAGTGGGGAAGGGGACCATCTGCCCCTCTACCTGGGTCTTCTGCGAGCTGAGCACCGTGAAGGGGGCGGGGGGACAGTAATTACATCAGCCTTGCAGAGTGGGTCCCACAGAAAGTGAGCAGTCAGGACACAGGGCGCTAACATGCCCGCCCGCCCAGGATTTGGGGATAACAGCTACAGGAAACAACACTTAGTGCGAACCCATAAAAGTTCTCCAACTTCCATTCACCAAAAATGCATTTCACTTGCAGAAGACCTGCTCGACTGAGGTTACCTTGTAAAATGCATTCGAGCACCTGATACACGAGTGATGTTCGAGAGGTTTGCATAAAGGAGGACGGACTGCGGAGAGGCTGCAAACTTGTACGGGGGCGGCACAGCTCCCAGAGCCGCCACCAGCACACCCCAGCTGCCCGGGCCACCTCTCAGGCCCGGCAGGAGGCCGTCGCGGGCGGGGGCGCGCGACCCCGGCCCGAGGCTTCCGGGAACTTCCGCGCCAAACCCGCCGCCGCGCCCCTGCCCCGCAACCGTCCGGAGCGCGGGACCAGCCGGCGCGCGGAGCCCCGGGGCCTCGGCCCCGCCCCCTGAGGTGGCCGGAGGGCGGGCGGGGTTGGGGAACATGCAAGGACACGGTGGGCGACGGCTGCTGACCCCGGCCCTCCGGAACCTCACCTCTCGGCCCCGGCACACAGAGGGCCACGGCACAGCCCGCTCCGGCGCTGGGCTTCCGGCTCCCGCCCGGACTGTTAAACTTACGCGGCCGGAAGTCCCACCCCCGAGGGGCGTCACCTGGCCAGGCGCTGCCCCAGGCGTGGATCGGGCTGGCCCGCCTAGGCCTTGGCAGGGAGAGTTATCCCCGGGCCCGGGCGGGAACTGGGGGCCTGGGGGCCTCCTCCACACCCAGCTACAGCGCTCGGGCGACTGGCAGCTACGCCTCTGCACTCCGTTCACTGCCGCCGTGTGTGCCAGGCACTGTGCTAGACTCCGCGCCGACGGACTGGTTTAGCCCGGTTCGGGGTGCAGGGGACGCACTGGGCCCTGGCCCCAGGGAGCTTACAGTCGCAGGCCAAAGTGCGCCACGTGAGGAGGCGGACGTTGACAAATAACTACATGCCTAAATGAATAGGGAAATTGTGACAGTGGCTTCAAAGAAAAGGTATATGATGTACAAAAGCCCATAACAAGAGAAATGAACGTGGATGTGGGTGTCAGATAGGCCCTCCTGCAGAGGAAAGCGTGGAGAGCAGGTAATACCACATGCAAAGCAGGAAACATGCTCGGAAAGGCTACGAAATAACTCAAAGTGTAAGTGTCTGCGTTATGTGACTTCAAATCCATGATCTTTCATCAGCATCATGATACCCAGCCAGGAACATCCAACACCACCCGGTTGGTAATTCTTTTGAAGGGGATGCTTCTCAGGGTGGAAAAGGAGCTGCACTGAGTGTTAACTGCCCCTTCCACCTGGGCCTCATAAACTTTGCTAACAGTTTTTGCTTAGAATACTTAGAAATACAGGACGTTTCTTCTGCAAACAGTGTTATTATTCTGTTATCCAAGTAAATATGGACTATGTTTCTCAGCCAGGTACATAAGCCCAGTTATTTGTTAAATAACCAGAAAATGAACAACTGCTTTCTTCAGAGCAGAAATAGAAGTACCAGCCAAGTTGTAAGGATTGATAGGGAACCTCAAAAGGAGAAAGATAGCAAGCAGCAACTGCCTTAATTGTATAATTTGTAGTTCTTGAGGTTATTAAGTTAAATTTCGACAATGATGAGGGCCTAAAGTTGGAAAATGAGAAAGCAAGGTAAGGGAGTGGGGGCAGGGACAAGCAGGGCAAATGCACAAAAGGAAATGACTAAATCTCTGAAAATTTGAAGCCAGCAGGAAAATTGAGACTAGAATATATGAAATAATATATGATATAGTAATACATATCATACATACATATTATGTTATATAATAACAAATAAAATATATATTATTTACTGAACACATACTTCACTAAGCACTATATATGTATGTGTGTATAGACATAATATAATGTATATGTATACTATATATAATTTCATCCTTTTAAAAACACATATGTACTATATTATATGTTCCCATTTTACATATGAAAAAACAGAGGTTAAGTAACTTGCTTAAGTACACACACTTAAGAAATGATATGGACTGTAGTTAAATCTAGATCCATAAAGCTACAAAGACTGTGCTGCAAACCATTATGCTATGTAGTCAAGAGCCAAAACATAGCATAAAGACCCAAGTGTTAACCTCCACTCCTTCCTCCCTGCTGATTCCACAGCCTCACCAAACCTTACATAGTTCTGGAATAGTGTCATAAACAAGTCTCAATAGATTTTAAAAGAATAAATTTACAAAGTATGTTATCTGATCACAGTAGAATTAAATAGAAATAGGAAACAATAAAACATCTAGAAAATCCACAAATATCTAAGAATTAAACAACTTTACTTCTAAACAAAGAAGAAATAAAAAAAAATAAGTTATAAATAATTCAAGCTGAGGACTTCTGGTCAAGATGGCAGCATAGGTAAACATGGTGCTCATCTCCTCTCACAACCACATCAAAATTACAACTAAACTATGGAACAATCCATTCAGAACCACTGGACATTGAGCTGAATGGAAGTCCTACAACTATGAAATTAAAGAATAAACCCCATTGAGCCCTGGCCAGTTTGGCTCAGCGGTTGAGCATCGGCCTGCAGACCAGAGAGTCCCAGGTTCGGTTCCCACTAGGGGCACATACCACAAAAAAAATAAAAAAGAATAAACCACATTGAGACTGGGAGGAAGGACGGAGACATGGACGGGCTGGTCCCACACCCATATGTGGCGAATAAAAATCAGGAGGATACCTCTGCTGTGAAGGTCCTCCCTGAGGAGTGAGGGGTCCCTGTCCCACACCAGGCCCCTCAGCTCAGGGTTCCAGAGCCAGTAAGAGAAGTCCCCATAACTCTGGCTGTAAAACCAGTAGAAACTGAGGCCAAGGGAGGCTGAGGCTTCTGGAGTCCCAGGCCGTTCCTCTTAAAGTGCCCGAACACAGACTTGGACTTGCTCCTTATGGGCTCCAGCATTGGGGAGACAGCTTGAAAGGCACCAGAGACATACAGGGAAGAACTGAGTTGTTTGGCATTGGGGCGAGAGCTGAGGGGCAGCTTTCTTCTGGATAGACTTGTGGGAAGCTGTTGTTCCTTTTGTGAGCCCTTTCCCTGGGCAGCAGACAGCTGCCATATCTGGGACTCCAGCAACCTGACTCACACTGTTTGCCACCCCGCTGTTGATTCCCTGAGGCCCTGCCCCACCCAACCTTCGGGCCCACCCAACCTGTTTCCAATGGCTTTACCTTAGAATTAACTTGTCTTGCCCTGGCCGGTTTGGCTCAGCAGTTAGAGCGTCGGCCTGCGGTCCGGAGAGACCCGGGTTCGGTTCCCACTAAGGGCACGTACCTTGGTTGCAGTTTGTCCCCAGCCCTGGTTGGGTCGTGTGGGTGGCAACCACTCGATGTGTTGCTTTCAGGTCAATGTTTCTCTCTCTCTCTCTCCCTCTCACTCTACCTGAACAAAATATCGAAAAATGTCCTCGGGTGAGGATAAAAAAAAAAAAAAAAAAGAATTAACTTGTCTTGCATTCTGCTTCAGATTTTCCTAAAATCTCTCAAACAAGCAGCATCTGACTTCAGAGAGCCCCATACCTTTTGTTAAGTGGCCCCAGGCCTGGCACTAGAAGCAGCCACCCTTGGTTCACAACTTGGCATTCCTAGGCACCTCCAAGCCCAGCACAAGAAGCAGCCATCTGCAGATCACTTTGTAGCTTATGCCAGGTAGCCCGGGTAGAACACAGGCAGAGGCTGACTTTGCCCAGAGCCAGCACACCCAGTGGACAGCTTTAGACCACATCAAAGCACCACCACCCAACCACCTCCACAAGTGACACACTCAATGAGTGGACTCAGTGGGTAACAGAGCCCTGCTGAAGTAAGTCTTGCTCTGTGTGTTGGGCCCCTACACAGCTGATCCTCCAAGGCAGTCAGAAGCAGTGGTCAGTTGGCACTGCCAGTCCTTGCCCCTGATCAGCCTGAGTAAATCCCTCCCATTGATGTGCCAACAGCAATCAAGATTCAATTACAACAGAAGGGTGTACAGTCTACACGAGGGGTATACTTCAAGGTCCCAGCTGGGGTGATCAGGGAGGCTATGCCACTGGACCCGATAGGACACCTACAACAATAGGCCACCCTACGAAGCCTAGGAGACATAGCAACTCTACCTAATACAAAGAAACACACACAGGGAAGCAGCCAAAATGAGGAGACCAAGAAACATGTCCCAAGTGAAAGAACAGAACAAAATTCAAGGAAAAGAACTAAACAAAATGGAGATAAGCAATCAATCAGATGCAGAGTTAAAAACACTGGTTATAAGGATGCTCAAGGAACTTAGTGAGAACTTCAAGGAACTTGGTGAGATCTTCAAGGAACTTAAGGAGACCTCCACGGAGCTTAGTGAGAACATCAACAACATAAAAAAGGACCAGTCAGAAATGAAGAATGCACTAACTGAAATAAAGATTAATTTACAGGGAATCAACAATAGAGTAGGTGAAGCCAAGAAGCAAACCATCAATTTGGAATATAAGGAAGCAAAAAACACCTAATAAGAACAGCAAAAAGGAAAAATAATCCAAAAAAATGAGGACAGTATAAGGAGCCTCTGGGATAACTTCAAGCATACCAACATTCGCTTCATGTGGGTGCCAGAAGAAGAGAGAGAGCAAGAAATTGAAAACCTATTTGAAAAAATGAAGACAGAAAACTTCCCTAACTTGGTGAAGGAAACAGACATACAAGTCCAGGAAGCACAGAGAGTCCTGAACAAGATGAACCCAAAGAGGTCCACACCAAGACACATCATCATCAAACTGCCAAAGGTTAAAGACAGAGAGAGAATCTTAAAAGCAGCAAGAGAAAAGCAGTTAGTTACCTACAAAGAAACTCCCATAAAATTGTCAGCCAATTTCTCAAAAGAAACTTTGCAGGCCAGAAAGGAATGGCAAGAGATATTCAAAGTGATGAAAAGCAAGGACCTACTACCAAGCAAATCTATTATTTAGAATCAATGGAGATATAAAGAGTTTCCCAGACAAGAAAAAGCTAAAGGAGTTCATCACCACCAAACCAGTATTATATGAAATGTTGAAGGGTCTTCTTGAAGGTGAAGAAGAACAAAAATATGAACAATAAATACCTATCAATTAACAATTGAATAGACAAACAAAATGAGCTAGTAGAACAGAAACAGACTCATAGATACAGAGAACTTTTTGTTGCTTGCCAAATAGGAAGGGGCTGGGGGATAGGTGAAAAAGATGAAGGAATTAAGAAGTACAAATTGGTTGTTAGACTGATGAAGCTCAAAGGGAAGAGGGGAGGAAGGGCAGGAAGAGATAAAACAAAGAACTTCTATGCATATATGCATAATCAATGGACACAAACAATAGTGTGGGGAAGGCAGCAAGGGGGCTGGATTGAGGAAGAGGGGGTCAATGGGGAAAAAGGGGGACATCTGTAATACATTCAACAATAAAGATAAGTTTAAAGAGAAATAATTCAAGCTGAATAAGTAAAATGCAACACATGAAAATTTATGCAATTCAGCTAAAGCAGTGCTTAGACAGAAATATATATAATGG